ACCCAATGATTTGGTGGAATGCGTCCATGCGATTAGACGAATGGAGCATGCCTGCCTCAAATCACATGGAAATCAACGTAGAACAGCACCATCTGGAGGCTCAAGTAATTAAAACGAATTTGTGTCAGGCTGAAAATTTATACTCCGTTGCCACGATTGGACTTTCTTAGCTCTGCCTCGACACATCGAAAAAAAGCAGTTGATACATTTGTAATAAGAGGGGTTCTACAAATTATTCACAGACAAAACCATCCAACGTCTTAGAAAGTTGACCATTTTGAAAAAAACGCCAGCCCTTTTTCAGAAGGCCCGGATGAGAAACTATTTTATTTATTTGGTCAGATCCTTTGATCAAGTAGCAATGTCTGATAACCGGTCAACCAAAGTTGATCGGTTGTCTTGGGTTATAGAGATTGTGCATGACAGCCACTTTTATTGTAAGAACTCCTGTTCCACAGGGATAAACATGAGGAGACTTTTTTGTTCTATCCCTCTTTCACAACATGAAGGCAATTGTCAACAGTTACCTTGGAGACGGATCCCCATTCGTCTCGAATGAGTGGTTTAATGTGTTAAACTACAATTGCCAGTGAATAGTCACGTGACGAAAGCTGGGCAGAATGTATGGTCAAAAGCATGCAAGACAGGGCCTATAACTTATTTGACTGAACCTTTGCGAGGCCATTAAGTCTTGCCATTCTACGTAAAATGTAAACTGAACATTGAATAACTGGTTTTAAAATAGACCTGTAAACCTAAAGGAACCAGGAAATAGAAATGTTTTTATTTTACTAAACAACCCTTGAGCTTGCATCTTTTGGTTTCAATTACCCTTATTTTACATTTTGTTTTCCAATTTTAACCCATATTTAAATGCTCTTTGGTTTTTATGCTAATGCTATTTGAGTATTCATGAGCAGAACTATGGTGTCATCTTAGGCACTGAATCTCAACGTTGCACTGATCTGTGCACGGAAAAATTTTATAGATATTTTTTAATCACTGCTATGAAAGCACTTTCTTTGACAATTTATTGCTGTGTAAGTATAGGTAATAGTCTAGCAAAAATCCTTTTCACAAAAATGTTCCCAGATACCAAATTTGGGGTTCACAATTTGAACATGAAAACATACAACCTGAGCCATGTCTTCCTGGATTTACATGAAAGCAAAAGCGCCCTCACTTGTCCAGAAATGCTTGGTCAATTTTTAATGTTTGAAAAAGTCCACTGTTCAGTTCACGTAACTCAAAAAAGATGTCAAACAGTCGTTATACAAGCAAGAAGAGTACAGAGATACACAAAAAGTGATTCCAGGAAAAATTCATTTCCTGGTTCCTTTAAATTTTTCTGTTAAATGACTTGATTCATTTTGCAATGTCTTAAAGGAATTGCCACACAGACTTAATCAACACACTCACCAGCTCTAGAATGTTTCGAACGTGTCTTAAAGCTTATCTAAAAAAAACTATATAAATGCCCTTTCAAGTTTCGTTCTTTTGAACTTGTCACATCGAAACGACGCATCGTTTCCCAGAATGCAGAAGCTAAACTGATCAGTCGGTGATCCAGTGAAACATTTTCAATTTTTAAACAGAAACAAATGCCCCGAGGTTATTCATGTTCTTTTCTTAGGAACTATAAAAGTTAAAAGCTCAAATTTAAAGCAATTCAAGAACCACCTGACGCTTAGAAATTTTAAATCGTGCCATTGACTGGACAAAACAAATACTCGCAACACATATTCTCCTATGCGTCACTACAGTGTCGGTTGCTAAGCAGTTAAATGTATGGAACCATTCAAGTGGCCATTGCTTGCCAGCGTAGCTTGCGGATGCAGTCTTGCTTTCGATTCAACCGGGGAATCTGGTAGGAATGATGCTGTAAGAAGGGGGCCCACTGTGATTACCAGGGTGTGACTGGTCGTGCCTTGCGCCACTCGGCTATGATCGGGTTAGAGGTAACTCGATCGAAAACCGCCTTCAGCTTGGGAAACTTGGCCAGGGAGTCGGGGAAATAGACGTTGGCTACCTCCACCATGGAGATGAAATGGATGTCAGCGGCAGTCAACTGCATGTGCCGAAAAAATCACAGTTTCGTCAGCATAAGAATTGTTGAAGCCGTTTACTTATCCAAGTACTGTTTACCCCTTTGAATCTTTGCTTGATTATGTTAGAATTACTCTCGCATGAAATGAAAGGCACCCTAAACTATGGCAATCCTGAAATTAAAAGAAAATGTTAATTCAACCCGTATACATTTCAAATAGTCATTTTTGAAAAAGTGCTCTGTTTAATTTAATGATGTATACCCCTCGCCCACTTCTTTGTTAAATGTGAGGAGTAAGTGTAGTGTAACTTTGAAATCATGTTTTGAAATGGACATGGCATAAATATTTATTGCATCCCTTCGAGAATCCTCTATTTAGGATTTGGAAGATTGTACTGTTGGCAAATAAATAACATGCCTCTAAGTATCCAAGTGTAAAGGTGCGCTATTGCGTGCAATTCAACAATCCATTCTAACACGTGCCGACGTAAGAGGCGGGTCTATAGGCAGATTGTTTTGTCCGTAATGTCCTCCTTTCCCAAGTTCACTCATAGTACATCTTCACTGTGAAACCATATTCTTATCGGAGCTTAATGAAAACTCTTGCGTTCGTGTTCAGTTGCTTACGGCCCCTATCACTGCAGAAGAACTCTAGGGGGAGTTGAATACATGAATTTTGTTTCCAAGGACTCATTTGCAACGGGATATGATGTTAAAATTGAATCTTTTTATGATGCATTGCTGGTATTGAAGTCAGAATAATTTTCACTTTGAAAACTGCTTATAGTTAACTTCAGTCTACTCTTTAGAGTTTGTTCAAACATTTGGGTTTTGTCTCTTCTGTATCTACATAAAGCCAGTCATTGCTTTCATTCCTTCCTCTCTCTTTACACAGGCCCCCTAACTGCCCCACAGCCATTTTAGCCTCGTTAAGCCCTTTCTTGATAACAAATCCTACCCCTCAAAGTACCTGTCCGAAAACTCTTGTCGATGATTGGCTACATTTGTGACCAGATAACTTTCAAATGTACAATTGGTTTGTGCTAAAAAAAAACAGCGAAGTTTCCTTCCGATGTTTCGCCAAGTTCACATCAGTTCAGTTTACATGTGTTACTACCTTGTTTCCGACGAAGTAGTCCCCGGCATGCATGTGCTCAAGAGCTCGTAGGCGCTCAAGTCGCGAATAAATCAACGGAATCTCAACTTCCTGGAAGTTCTTGGTGTGTTTCGCCTGTGGTGAGGGAAATAGCACTTCATTTATTCAAATTGATGAATGGACACAGAGTTACGTGTCACGTCATAGGATGTTTGCTCATTTTGACATTCAAAGTTACTGACATCGTCTAGGTAAATCCAAATTATTCCGAAGGTTTCCACATGAGGCAACGTACTACTGCCTCACGTACTGGATATGCACGAAAACCGATCGCACTCAGGATTATCTGCTAACACCACTGACAAAATGGACATGTAAAGCTCTCGTTCACGCCGAGGTTTACCTTTTCTTCGTCAGTGGTAGAGAAGAAGATAAGATCCCATGGCGGTACGACATCGTCAGCCGTATCAACGATCATATCGATGCACATACCTTCAAATTCATCCTTGCCATAAAGATCTGCAACGGCAGGAAATTGCAATAAGTTGTCTGTACAACCAGAAACCACATAGAAATTCTTTAACTTTTTATCACTTCTAGCTCAATGTTATGGTTCATTCGCAACAAAACCGCGTTTGTAAAGCGACCAGTCACGATACCACGAATTATAAAAGTCCGCTTAAGCGGTAAGAATTGAAGCAATTTTTTTTTCAAGTGACGCCTGAAATGGTCAGCGCGTAAGGGCCTTTGAGAAGCATTTTTCTGCTATCACTTGGAGATGAAAGAGTTGCTTCTTACTATATTTCCTGGCCAGGTGCATGATGATCGACTTGCTCTGAAGGATCCTCTTGCCATCAATCTCTAACATGGGAAGCTGGAAAGTCGGGATGGCTGAAAACAAGTCATAGAATAAAACCAATTCTGTATGTTTGGACAGTTTGTATCAACTATAATTGCTTCAGTATTCAGCAAGTTTAGTTTCCTTCCAAAGATGCGTAATTTTACGAGGCGTAGATCACTTTGGTCAAATATTCCGTTGACTTACAATCAAGCTGTATAGTCTTCCCTTGGGTGTAAACTGTAAGGTCCTCAATCGCTTTGTGTCCCCCAAACATATTCATTGTACGATCGCATGAGCCCTCGGATATATTCCACGTTCCCCAAATGCGACACTTTGAAGCTGCATTTGATTAATTTTGATTTCCTCGATGTTTAAAACAATTTAACAATTGAACTGTAAAGGTAATCAATGGAGGAACATATAATTAAAAAGTAAGTGAATTTAAATTATTAGATCAACTTATTTTCATCCATTGTGGAACCACAGTGAACTTAAGTGAGTTTTATTATACATGTATATGTATAGTTGAAGGTCTATTTGGTCTTTTTGGTCTTTTTGTTAACACCTCTCGCGTCCACCGATTAACAAAGACTATTCCCGAAGGGCATTTAAACAGTGCGCGTATGCGGCACGTAGAGTTTCACAAACTCTGCGTACGTACGTATGCGTAGCGCGAACAATAAAGTTAAACAGGGTATACAAATTCCTCGATGTACGTATGGCACTACCGAACGTTCGCTGGTGTGGGTGTACATGTAGGTGGTCAAATAGTTCAGGTATCGAGCTCCTACTAGAGCGAAAGTTACCACACTCAGGCCGTCGGTTTGTCCAGTTGGCACAGTTGGCGCATTGCCTAAGGCCTACAAAACATGAAAAAGTTGAGGACCTGCAAGATGTAGTTGTAAATGTATCACACACACAAAAAAAAATTTCACGCGAAGACGACAAAAGTTTCAGCATCTCTCCCTCAATTTCCAATCTCGGGAAATGATCAAACTAGCTTTTTTCATAGTTTATCCCAGTTTGACATCAGCGCAAAATGAAAAGCTCGAATGCATAAGATATTGACACTGTAGAGTCGGTGCTGATACGTACATGGGGTCGACAACTGGGCATGAAACATTGGTTCCATAGGGCTTACGGGACACTAATGCCCGTAATCGGCCCAGGCTCTAATGAGTAACTTACTTGGTTTCAGAGCCGGCCATTCATTCATTTCAAAGCGTTGATCTTCAAATTTGACCCCAGCAAGCTTAAAGATGTAGCGGATACTCTCTGCCCTACCCCTGCCATTGAAATACACCAGTTTATAGTTAGTCATGTTTGGTGAAGTTGAGGGCACTGCTGTTTAGCTGAACACAGAAATTCGGTCCGTCTTTTTAGGGTGTGACTTATGCGTGTACTCTTTTGGCTAGTGGAACGGAATGATCAACGCAGAAAACGAACTATGTCCTTGTTCAAAGCTAGATCAAGTAAAATAATAAATTAGGTTTGTCGTACCCGAAAAGGTGAATTTAATAGGATGAAAATGTCATGAATCCATCGAGGGGCACTTCTGAACAATCCTGCTACGTCAAAAACACTTGTATTTATTTGTTTGTTTGCCTATTATTAATTCGTAAGTTAAGGAGAAATTTTCTTCTTAATTTTAGTTCTCACGGTTCGCTATTACGGTAAACATGTGCATAATAATGACTATTACAATGAAGCAGTGCTACGCTGGTTCCCGCCCCGGGCGGGCAACTTGTCTAGACGCTTTCCGGCCAACAGCGTTGTGGCACAACATCCAAGCTGCTCTGCCTCGGCACATCAAAAAACGAAAAACTCGATCGATGCATTAGGAGCAAAACAAGTTCTGCAAATTATTCACAGACAAAACCATCCACCTTCTATTGGAAAGTAGGCCATTTTGAAAAAAGTCTCCAACCTTTTTTTCAGAAAGCCCGGATGAGATACTATTTTATAATTTACTGGGCCTGATTCTTTGATCGAGTAACAATGTCTGTGAAGTAGACCATCACCACACTCAGTTTGGGTTATAGAGGTTGTGTATGACATCCACTTTTATGGTAAGGGCTCCTATTCCACAGGGATACACAAGTAGACTTTTGTACTATCCCTCTGTTACAATATGAAGCCAACTATCACCAGTTACCTTGGACACAGCCCCCCCACAAAAAAAATCGTCTGGAATGAGTGAGTTAATCCGTGTTCCCATCGAAACCCTACGCAGACCATGGCACAAAGTCTTGTCAAAAGCGTGCAAGACAGGACAATAGGTTATTGCGCTGACCATATGCAATTAAAGGCCCACAAATTAAGTTCCTCTGTGTGACTATCAACGGAAAGACTTCACTCCTTTTGTCGCTGATGTGAACCCCACGTGAACCCTTGCAATTAGGTCAGTTTGAGGAATGAATGAAGTTGGCGCCGCTACTTTGGACTTAAGCACTGTGGGAACCCGCGACCTGAAGTCCCGTAGAGGACACATGAATTTAAAATCAGGTCAAACTAAGTTACCGAATCAGCATAACGGCAAGCTCATGTCAAGCGTACCAACAGGTCTTACTTAGCAACGCTCTATTATACACCTATCTGAAATAGATTATGAGTGGACTTCATTAATTATGTTGAGTGTCACAGTGCATGAAATAGAAACCACAGGGGGCTATCGTCCTTATCAGGCCTGTCATTTTGCCCATTCATATCGCACCCTCTGTGATTGATACAATACACCCCGTCTATAGTGCGATTGGGAAAAAGGAACAAACTATAAATAGACCCAGGAATATTCACGACTTCTTCGAGGCTTGGACATGAAAAGGATCTCACAAAACATATACACTGAATACTGAATAACAGATTTGAAAATACAAGGAATGTGAACTTGTTTCTGTATCCAGAGGGATTTACTGGATTTTCCAGAGGATTAAAAGAACTCACACAGACTTCAGTAGAGTATTTACTATTCTAGAATTTCTTGATTGTTTTCTCAAAACATAATCTATAGATACTGTAATTAGTGTCCACTCTATCTATGTTCTTGTTAATTCGTTGCATCAAACATCGCATCGTTCCCATGTGATGCATGCAAAGCCGCCTCAACAGATCAGTCCATGTCACAATTTTAGCATTTTCAAATCTTGCTTGCACGGTACAATTCATGATAAATAAGGAGTGAATCCAGGAAATTTTCCAGTGAGGGGCTTTAGGCCGGAGACGTTTTTTTTTCAATGTCTCATTCCTTAAGGCCAAGCGGAAAGAATGATAAAACTCACACGATATGCATTGTTTACAATACTATTGGTGCACTTTATTATATTTTGTCTTCCCATTTGGTTTGGGTTTGGTGTTTCTTTGTTTGATTGATTTTTTTTTTTAGAGCAGGGGGTTCGACCCCATCCCCCACCCTCGGGGTCCCAGCCTGTCGTTCGAGCGCGTCAGGTATGGTTGAAATTTTTTGGGTAGGCCTGAGAACAGCTCATCTCTTACTGATCAGTGTCCTCTACTGTTCCTGATATTCGATTGTGTTCAGCATGTACTAGAAATTCAGAGGGCGCCAGACTCCTTTCAATTCATTTTCGGCCCAAAAAAAAGCAGAAAAAAATTCAGTCATGTTACGTATCACACTCACAGAAAGCCCAGTTAAATTCATGCATGATCGGACAGTAATACGTTATTTGACTAAATTAACGCGGGGTCTACTTAGTAACTTGTGTTGAAGTGTCATACGGAAAGATTTTACTCCTGACGTCTGTGAAGTGAACACCTGTGATTTTGATATTTGATCAACTTCGGGGCTATGCGAGTGGCACTTTGAAAGCAAGAATAGACATGTCATTTTATTGAAGATTATATTTATTGAACTCGTTTCCTACTTGAAGCCTATTTGAGAGTGGCCTTAGATGAAAATAGAAAATGCCACCATTTCCTCATTTAATATACATCATACATGCATACAATTTTCTGTTCTCTTTTTTTGAAGGCCAAACATAACGAAACAACATTTTGAAAAATATTGACGATTTTAACATATAAGGAAAAAACTAATAACAATGAATAACACCGGCAACTTATTATCACAAATTTCTGACAATTGTAACGTGACCATATCCATTACATGTACATGTACACTGCATGTAATGCATTGCCCATAATGCGCACAGGTTTCCTTAATGACGTATTTGAACTGCTATTAAGGAATCTCCCACGATGAAAGTATTACCATTCATTTCGTATGGAAAATAATTACATGTACATACAAAATTAATTAACTTTCAGGCAGGCTTGATTAATAGGCGTGTTTAAGGTAAACAGATTTTTGAAATCGTCGGCCCTGTTGGCTAAGGAGATACCAGGCGAGTTTCTGTTTATTGTAAAGGGTCTTTCTGAACGGTTAGCCCCAACCTTTACAATTCATGGAATAAGGCAAGCAATAAAACCTTTCAAGACTTTAACTGCTTGGTTTTTCTTAAGTGTCGATGATCCCCCAAGTCACCCCTTACTTGTTTGAGCAAACCCAGACTAGCTGTCAGTCTCTGCTGCATTTACAAACCAAGGTTGACTAAAAGCACACAACGAAACATTACCAAATACATGAAGTCATTTGAATTAAAAAGGGGTGATGTTTGGCTCACCAGGTCCAGAGTCTCTGAAAAAAAGGTGTACATGTATCCGGGTGAATCCTTATCACAAATTGCTGCCGCTTCAAAGGGGCCACTACTCTCATCCCCAAATTTTGAAACGACATAAACAATTCAACCGACGGTACAAGAGGCATCGTATTAGCATTATTCACAAGCTTCTTTTTCAATGATTTTGTGAAAAGAATTTATCAACACATGAAAGTGAAACATTTTTATTTTCAGTCGCCCATTCCCCCTCCCCATTTATTTTAAAATGTCCACCTTGATAAAAACTGGAATCTTGTCGTGAAAATTCTCTATGCAGCCTACACCGTCCAACCAAATGAAACTGCCTCCTTAACCAAACCCTTCAATGTCATGATACCATTTTATCACCGCACCCATTCCGACTTCATCTTCAGTGACATCACCTCGCCTGTCATCTAACTCAACCCATCGTTCATTCTCGGTGCAAAAACTGGTAAGACATAATCATAAACTCTTCTTTCTCATTCCTTTCCAGGGCAACTGTCAGTGAATATGAAGCACCTTTTACAAACAGATCCTGTCTGATGAATACACTTTACTACCAGTTCCTCATCTTCGCGCATAGCTTGACAATTTTATTTTCTTAGCTGAACAAGCTTTAGTACTGAACTAACAACTGTACTGGTTCTGTATTCATTTGCAGGTCCTTAAGTTTGGAGTCAGTATCAATTGGCGTTTCAACACCTGCTTCAAAACGGTGGTTCTTCGCTGTCACCGGTCTTCCTTCTCCGTTGTTTGTTGTCTTTCTCGCTGTCTTGTTGCTGTTTGCTTTTTCTGATCACAGATATGTTGCCTTGCTCCATCATCTTAGTTTCCCATTCCTCCATTGCAGCTTCGTAATCTTCCTTTGCCTGAGCAGCGGATTCGTAGTATTTCTAAAGAGAAGTGGTGCGGAGATGATGAAGAGAAGACATTAGAGGTTACTTAAGACTACTCAAAGATAGGATCAATGATACATGGGAGAGACTGCAAGGAACTCTTCCACTATCTTCAAAATGAGTAAGTCAAGTTGCGGTAAAATCTAAGTCAATCGACTTACCGCTTTCTCCTCCTCGGACATTTCCTTCCATTCCTTGCTAACTTCTGCCATCTTGTCCTGCAATTAGGAAAACAAACTGAGCAAAATGTATTTTCATTTCTCAATGGAATCTTCAAGCCCCGGTGAACTCTGTGCTAAAGTAGAGGGCGCTATTTAACCTAACAGCAGTAGCATGTGATAATCACTTCACTGGTTCCCTCAATGCTGCCCACTGTGTTCTGCATGCAGGAGATGGTAACCCACAGTCTCTAAATATCAGCACTCTTCATTTCCACCTGTGTATGATATCAGTGAGCAGCCTGCACACAACTGGATACCAATTAATTAAAACTCACGGTGATGCTTCCAGAGGCCTGTTTGAGCTTGGACCCCAAAAAGATGCTGTAGGCATGTAGCGGACGCTTTGGTCTCTCAAGCTTCTTCAACACCTAAAGCAACGACAGAATACACAAAAACCAACAGTCCATTCAAATAACATGAATGCAAAGCAAGTACATTGAAAATATCAGAATCGTAACAGTATCCACCTTCAGCAGAAGCACCCCCTCATTGGTTGAAAAGAGCCATTCTAGTCGAGAGTGTTCATTTTGGTGGTAGCGAAGCGTACGCAACACATGCATCTCACTGTAGTCATCCGGGAACCAGGCAAAATGGAGTTCATAGCAAAAGAGCTTCCGTTGCTTGGAAAATCGTGCCCTCTCTTGGCCCTGCTGGGGGCTTCTAGGACTGCTGTTGGAGCTTGGGAAGTGAACTCAACTTGGTCCCCCCTGATTACCTGCTTGTATCTTCTCTTTGCCTTGTTGCTCTTGGCCTGTTCTTCTTGCTCTTCAAGCATCTGTTCTTCCTCTTCCGTTAAGCTCGCTCTGAAGTTCTCCATTTCCTCCAAATAGGTTTCGCTATTTTCCCTGGCTTGGGACCGGTAAGGCTGAAGAGAAAGTTTTTAACAAATGCCACTCCAGCTGATATTGAACTGTCAAAATCAAGTTCAACCCATTTAATCTAGAAAAACTTGATATTTCTCAAGCATATCCACTGGAATTGTTTACTTCCACTGATTGGCTTAGATTGATAGAATGGATATAACCATGTTATTCAAGGTCTTGTTCCAGCTTAGGTAAAAAAAAACAACATATTATTACACATACAATTAACACACATGCATTAAACTAAAAAGCAAACAGCATCATACAGCTCAAATGACTCCTGATTCCCATCACAGAATTCGCAGACCTGCCAACATGCCGTACTCCTTCCTGAGGTCAGGCATTACTACGCAATAGATTCAATTATGAATGAACTGAAGGCTCATTAACATACCTTTTAATCTATTGTGTGGTGATGCCTGACCTCAGGAAAGAGTACAGCCAGGTTTGCAGGTCTGAATTCAGGTTTACGAGATGCTTAGAAATTTAGCTCCGATAGTTGAGTATAAATTTCAGACAAGACGTGTTGAGTCTTGAGTATGAGTAAACTATAATTTTAAAATAACCTCCTTCTCGTCATCAGAAAGCTCCCTCCACATCTTTCCAATCACCTTAGCTATTTCTGGAAAGCTCAAATCTGAATGCAAAGAAAGAAAGTCTATAAAGGTTTTTATTACTTCAAAAGATATCATTTGGTCAGGATACACATTTGTCAACCAAATATTTTGGTGATGCACAGCATCAAGTAAGGTAAAGATTGAAAAGTTTACGTGGATTTTCATTGATGACTTGCTGACGTTTCTCCATACTGAAGAGCATGAAGGTGCCTCTTGGTCTTTTAGGCTTCTGAGGCATGTCTCCTTGTGATGCCAAACATCTCCAGACAAGTCTGTTTAACAGAAAGAAAACTAACTCCTAAATCACTAAATCTTCCATCAAACTAGTGTGCATTGACACAACTTGGCAATCAATCTCTTGCCCAGTTATCAGTAATTTTCTGGACATTCAAAAGCTTTGGATTATGAACAGATGAAGCTCAGCTGGGTAATACAAGTAACTTGTATCTGAATGCACGGTTTCCATCGACCAGAAGCTATCTGTGACCAGAAGCTATCTGTGGCAGACTTATTACTTCACTTTCCATCCATCAAGTCCACAGTAGGCGTAGAAGTTAGATGTTTGGCATGGCAAATGGTAGGCCCCCCTTCCTTTGGTAAGTGTGCAGACAAACACTCTACAATACCAATAGTCCAATTGTAAGTTTGCCCCTCAATTAGGTTACAAAAATACAGACCTATTAACAGGTCCCTACATGTATGTTTTGGCTAATTTAGACTTCCTGTATTGCTTTTGTCAGCAAGAAAAGTAGGATGCCGCCCCTCCCCCGCCCCAGATCACACAAGCGCGCGCCAGCTCAACGCTCGCTTCCCACAAGAATGCTTTGGACGTCACGTTTCCAACCAGCATTTTAATCGGTTTACCTGGTGCTTGTATTGGCGATTCCCCCAAACAGTCGGTTTGTTCTGCAACAAGCGAGCATTACACGTGCCGTTTGCCAGGAAGCTGCCATTTTTCAGGTGCCCGTCGGGTCAAAACGGCGCGGGTAAAAGCAAGCAGTGGTACATACCGTGGAATTGGAAGGATCCGAAAAAGGGTATTTTTGTATCAAATGAGGGCGCTGTCCAAAAGTGGCAATTTATTAAATTTGCACGAGGAGTTGCAGCATTGGTCATCATAGTGGCATGATCTTTCGTTTCCGTGAGGTAGAAAATTCCAACCGAAATTATTTGTCACTTTTATTGAATACAAAAGTATGGATCTCTGAAAGTGCCATCCGACAGAGATCCTGACATGTTTTTCTGGGGATGACGACATATTCAAAGCAAGATGTCGACATCCTAAGATAATTTATCACAGGATGACGGCATCGTAAAAGTTAGATGATGACATCCTGTGATGATGATAACCATTAGCTCGGGATGTCATCATCCAGAGACATCCACCAAGTGTGATGTCTACCTCACGTCTGGTAACAGGTGGTGAGACATTTTTATCAATCTAATAATCATGTTTGGCAACAGGAGGACGATGCTTTGCACGAGCACCTCTGGCTCCCTGTTTCCAAGGGGGTTTGTCAAGGCACCCTTTGACAGGATGTCATCATATCACTTTTACGATGCGTCATCCCATGATAAATATTATCGCGGGATGTTGTCATTTCCATTACAGGATGTCTTCATCTTGTGATAAAACATTTCATGGTGTCGCCATATTGCCCGTAATATGTCATCATACTGAGATAAAATACGTCAGGATCTCGACAAGTAGGGCGGCACTTCCAGAGATAGAAGCCAACATAAAACACAAAGTGTTTGGCATGCTGATAAAGTACTGATGTTTTGGTAGATTTTTAATTGTAGAAGTCGGGTATCATTGGTTTCACAAGTAGTCACTTCCTGAGTATTTTGTACTTTGCCGCTGGCTGCACAGCGAGGTTGGCAACAAAACAGCGGCAGTGTCGTGTTGCTCCTTTACAATTTGTACAATTTTTTCATAATGTATGGCAACACATTAAAGCCAATGAAGGATTTACTCAAGTTTAATTGTGCTTTGCGCAGCGCCCTCAAGTGACATAAATTAATACTTTCTTCGGATCGTATTAAGTAGACCCACTCCAAAATAGACACTCTCGTCTGTGGCTACGACTAGTTTACACACCGTCCCAACGGCGACAAAATGGCAGCCGTAGCTACCAGACTGCTGCCTCCCTGCTTTGCACTTGGTCTCGTTTGTTTGCAAATTGCCACAAGTTGAGAAACGTCGTGGTTGACATGCGCCAGTTTATATTCCTGCGTTACTGGCCGTAGCCAGACACTGAGCAGTTTTCGTTTCATTTCCAGGTGACAAACATCCATCGGACACATAGCTAGCTAGCAAGATGGTGAAAGAACAGTTCAGAGAGACGGATGTTGCCAAAAAAATGTGAGTGCAAACTCAACTCGTGTCTGGTCGACAACCCTAACTGTTGCAGGCCCACTCCAGCATGTCCAGGGAAGAATATTGTAATTTGACTCCCACTTAACCTTCATCGGTCATGTGCAAAGTCTAGTCTCATGTCTACGGGAGTCAAGAAGATTTTCCAAGCAGGCCTAGGCCTATTTCGTCGCAAAATTGGAACTTTTTCTCAGTCCTAATTCATGTCTTTTCAGCACTTCTGCAGTGACTGACCTTTATTGGGTTGATACTAGGCCTAATGATGAAAGTAGAGGCAAGATTAAGATGCTTTCATTCTTATCTTACCATCCCTGACCATGGTTAATGTTAGACCTACATAACCATGTACATGCCATGCATGCCCGACCGGGGCCCAATTTCTTGGTGCTGCTTACCACAGAATTCCACATTTACAATCTCCATTCTGCGCTAACCGTGCTAGTAGAAAAATTCTGCGCTAACCTTGTAACCACAGAATCCTTAGCTACGAGATGTATGCCTGCGCACGAGCCAAAATTCTTCACTAAGCTGTGAAATACATTCACTGTAAGCACAGAATATTCTGCTGCGGGAAGTGCCGATTTTTCACTTGCGGTAAGTAGCGCCATGACATTGGGTTAGTTGAAACTTAGGCCAATGAAATTTGATTTATTTTTTCTCGTCAGGGTTTTTCAAATTTAGTTTTGGCATATTTTGACTTTTATTGACTATTGGGGGCCCCACTAGACTCACAAGATGCCTACGGGAATCTTTTTTTTTTTCAAAAGTAGTGAATAATGAAATTTTTTGATGCGGGACAGGCCAAAATCACATGTGGGTGCTAACGAGAAACAATAAATTTAATTTCATGAGCCTGATGGCGGACACAACCATGACAATAGGCATAACAGGAGGGCGTTATTTGAAGTGGGTAAATTTGGAGTAAACACAAAAGCATTTACTCAAGTCAAATACATGTAGTTTCCTTTTGTGTTTGCCAGGCTCCAATTGGCAAATTACGATGGCTGGTGATCAAGACAAAATTAAATTAAGTAGGCACCTAGGCCTATATTATCAAAGTCCTTCCACTATGAGTAGTATTGACTATTGTTGATGTACCCCATTTGTGAGCATGGCACAGCCCCCAACGTGATGTACTTTGATTTTTCGCCCCTCATGCCGTGCTAATTGCTACCAGGGCAATAATTTACCCCAAATTTCACAACAAATATTAAGCCTGTTAACCCTTACCCCAGTGGGTAAGGGTCAACCCCTACCCCACTTTACAAACTTTACATTGTCAGTGGCAAACTTGAAATGAAACTCCATGAAAATGATGTCAAGTGTGAGGAACATGTTTCATCTTGCTGAAGTTCTGACAATACAGTCGTTTCATTTCCTTCTGCTGTTTTTTCACCTACACAGAGGCAAAGTCTGCTTTGGTTTGATGTCCCCGGAACAAATCCGTCAGCAAGCTCATATCCATGTCGTCAGCAAGAATCTCTATCTGCCAGATAATAATACCAGAACACCCATACCCTACGGGGTACTAGACCATCGCATGGTACGTGATCACCCATATCTGTGTTCATCTGGGACTGTGCCAAATAAATGAATATTCAATCGATTGTCAAACATTTGAATATTATTTTTCAAATTTGAATATTCAAATGCAAAATTCATGAAAAGGAAGAGAAAATTTTCTTTTGTTTTCAATAAGAAAAATTGCATGATGTGAAAAGTAAATTATTCATTAAACAATTTAAAAGGAACAGAAATTTTCAACAGGGCAAGAAGTCTTGTTCATCTCTTAGATCTTGCTAAATCGTGGCTGGAGATGCTCCTAGATTTGAGAAGCTATTGTATTGATCATAATGTACAATTTGTGTGTGTTATTGCAACTGATTTTGTATATGGTTTGTTCATCAACAATCTGCTGGTCGGTGCGACCGAATGTTGGGATATTCGATCAAATTGAAGGTCAAATATTCAAATAGTGAATTATTCAAATGGACTCAGCCCTTCGTTCATCTGCATTGTTCTCTGCACAGCGTCAGCCTGCTAGTCATGCTAGGATTGAAACTGTGTATAGAGCTACTGGGATGACATATTGTTTCTTCCAGAAATCATAACTGCAGATAGACATGTGCAAGAGTCTCTGTCTAAATGATTATCAAACTATCAGTATTTTTCAAAAATTGTTAGTATCTGTCACTGATGTAAGTGTTCTTCTGAAACTGTATTTATTTAAAATTTGATTGGATACCTTCAACTTGCCTAGTGAAAGACTTGTTGGATTGATTTCATTTTTCTTTATTGAATCAGGGAACAAGTGAGAAAGATAATCCTTGTCTGACTTGTAAGAAACCTCTAGCGGAATGCTTGGGCCACTATGGCTATGTGGACTTAGAGTTTCCTGTCTTCCACATTGGTTATTTCCGATCCATCATCAGTATACTACAGTGTATCTGCAAGGTTTGTGAACGGATTTCTGTTCTCAAAGTACTTTGCCCCCTTCGAGTCTCCAAACCTGTATCCCCATCGCGATTGAATGCCTTGTGTACAGTACTGGTGACCTCGATTGTGGCATGGGCAATTTCAACACGTTTTCCAACCTAACCTGTGCATGTACGTTTGAGAAATGTTTCCAAATATCCCACAGTTCAACAAAGTGCTGAATTTAAACAGGAAGTTTTCCATTGCTAAGTTTTAGTGCTCACCACGCTCGTTATGTTACAGACAGTAAAATCCACCATTGTACAAAAAACAAGGCCTAAACTCTGAAGAGTATTATAAAAACTCTTTGTAGTTTGCAAGAGGGATTTCTATTGTATTGTCTTTGATTTGTAGGTATACAGATATTTTGTGCGTTGTCTTGATTTTACCAGAGTTGTGCTCACATTCTGCTCCCACCCGTCGACCGCCAGTCACTCTTGGATGCCCTGCATAGACCGACGCTGACTTACCTACAACGCAAAGGCTTGAGGAAGAAAATCAACGACAAATGCCGTAAGCAGCAATACTGCCCTGCTTGCAATGCATTCAACGGTGAGAAACAGGTTTCAGTGACTAAATAGTCTGTGATTCTGAGCTTCAGCCAAAGATCGTATAGCATTGCATAGCGGCCCAAGATGGAGAACTTCACCGTGAATACACGTTAAACGTTATAATCGCATGGGCGCCATTTGAGCAAGCGATATGCCTGCGCAATGCACATTACTGTGTAGGTGCAGGCGCCGCGGCAGGCACGTACACCTGGTGAGCCTGCGCTGAAGCATTACTGTGAACCACGCAGGTGTATTGCTTGCTTAAATGGCGCCCAAGGTAATTACACTCTGTGGGCAGAGTTATCCATCTTGCGCCTTTGGTACTATACGATCTTTGGCTTCAACCTACCTAAGACTTTGGAAATCACTGAGAAAGTGTGATGGGCTTGAGGAAGGTACGGCCATACCATGATTACTTTTCAGAGAGCTCGATGCTGATTGAAAGTTGAAGTACAAAGAATGTGTCTTCAGTTTCAGGCGCAGTGGTGAAATTTTTCACTAGAGTTTCTTAGAAAAACACCAATAGAGTTAGTGTTTAGATTCGTGTTAAGATTTAATTACAGGTTCTGCCCTTACCTGACGTTTGTATTTATAAAAAACTGTATACTCAGTGCTTGTCCGAGAGCTTGCGAGAAAAATCCACAAGCTTACTCGGCTGGGACTCGAACCCACAACCTCCTGCTTACTAGTGCAGACGTCTTAAACCACTCAACCACCGAGCTCGCCAGGGTCGGCTGGCCAGTCCAAGTCAGGTGTAGCAACTGGCATTGCGAGCTATTGTCTTTCATGGGGTAAGGGCAAAACCTTTAATCAAATCTAATATCTTCCTGATGCAAAACATAAATCCTGACAGGAATTGGTGTTCTAAGTTAATCTCTTTATATCTGCAATCAGAGCAGGGCACCTTTTGTTTTCCGTTGTGTAGGAGTGAAGAATAATAACAACAGAAGATTTATTAATTATCATGAATTTTCAACAGCTTTTGAAACTGTAAAACTGTAGCTTTACATCTAGGGAAGCTATATCAAAATTGATCTTCATGAATATTTATGACAGGCCAAGTCAAAAAGTGTGGCACCTTGAAGATTGTCCACGAGAAATACAAGAGCACTCGACGAGGCAGGGAGGACGCGATGGTCCAGTTCCAGGGAGACGTAGATATTGCCCTGCAACACAACAAGGCCCTGGAGCCTTTTGTGTTGAAAGCTCAGGTAGGTACGTTGGATCAGAGATCTCAGGAGTTGTCTCAGATCAAGGATGTTGAGCCTCTGCTGTGCATGGGATCCGAGATGCCAGAGGGGCATCTCGGAAGTTTGTCGTATCTGTCCTTTGTCATCTTCCTTTGCTTGCTTTGATTTCTGATGATTGTTCATTTCAGGAATGCCTAAACCCTCTGTTGGTGTACAACCTGTTCAAGAGAATCCCGCAAGAGGTGAGACACACAATCTGGAATGCAAAAACATTTGATGGAATTTGGCAGGAAGTAGGGAGAAAACATTGACACGTTCACTTGAGTGACTCTCTCTCTTGCCTCATGCTAAAGACATCTGCAATTGCAAAGTGGAGGTCCTGGGTTCAAATCCCACCCAAGGAAGCTTGGAAGCTTGTCTCGAAAGCTCTGATTATACAGTGTTTTTCACTATTCAGGACAGAACGCAGTATTGGAAATGAACTTTAATCACAATTGGTGGTATGCCGTTATACAATTCTGCCATATTTCCAAATTTCATTCCAAGTAACCCCATCCACCCTCTCTTAGGACATCCCCTTGTTGGTGATGACTACCGAAAGTAGCCGACCACAAGATTTAATCCTGACACGATTACTGGTCCCGCCCCTCTGCATCCGGCCTTCAGTCATCTCTGACCTCAAATCAGGAACGTAAGTTGGAAATTTCTTTTTTTTTTTAGTAGCATCGGTCAAACTGTGTACAATTGTTACTGTCCCTGTATTGAACTTGAGTAACATTTTGAGTTCATTATTAATTTCTCTGTTCAGGCTACTATTGCTAAATTTTACATCTGCCTTTTGTTTAGAAATGAAGATGATTTGACTGTCAAATTGACAGAGATCATCTTCCTGAATGACGTCATCAAGAAGCACCAACAAGCAGGTGCCAAGATGTCCATGATAATGGTGAGATTGTCCTGAGATTCTGTCGTGCTGCTTAACCCATTTCTCTTGCTGGGTATTTCACCTCACCCTTCATGAGCGCTTGTGTGCAACCTACAGCAGTGTCTGGTGAAATGATTACTTGTCCAATTTATCACTGGCATGCAAGGATCCCATACCCAGCTCAAAAGAACTATTTGTAAGGAGTCACACTTGTAAAACTTTGTGAAGGAAAAATTCAGAGAATCTTTGAAATGAATACTTTTGTTTATGTGTAATTTCTTAATTCATTTTGGCTGTTAAAAAGTTGAGAGCGGTTTGTTTCTAAACCTCAATTCTAACGCTAAGGTACTTTGGGAAGTCTTTAGGCCTCTTACATCTGTCATGAGTAAACAGATTACATTGTGATATTTGTCATAATTAAACTATCGTATCCATTTCCTTACAGGAAGATTGGGATTTCTTGCAGCTCCAGTGTGCCTTGTACATCAACAGTGAAACGTCAGGAATTCCTCTCAATATGCAGGTACGTTGACTGCATCTTATTCTTGGTTATTGGCAGGAGAGCAGGGACAAGTAACAGTAATGCAATGTACATACCAGCCTTACTGGAGCTAACCTTGCTGTATCAATATTACCCCCGCTCACTGGGCCCATCAAAATGAAGACCTTCGAGCTTCACATAGAGTGTACAAGATGCTGCCATTTTCCACCCCCCCCCGAAAATTTTCAAAGATCAATTCTCTCCTTAAAACCTTCAGCCAAAGAAAGCGACCAGAGGCTTCTGCCAGAGGTTGAAGGGTAAGCAGGGCCGTTTCCGTGGTAATCTCTCCGGGAAGCGAGTGGATTTCTCCAGCCGAACCGTCATCTCTCCCGACCCCAACCTGAGAATTGATGAGGTATTTAAGTCAAGTATTATAATCTTGTAACAGGTCGCACCTCTGAATTTCATTCTGAATTGGAGTGCAACCTATAACCACAGTCTTAAACTTAACATGTACCAATTGTAGGCGTTGTTTTTGTCAAATTTATTAAGCAAAAGCGTGTTAAATTGTGTGTACAGTTATTTAAGCTTAAAATAACAACAGGTACCGGTATGTTACCCATTCCAAAGGGGTTCTACTTAGATAATTAAAGACGTTTTTTTTAAAGTGTACTTTTTTGTTTTTACAGGTTGCAGTTCCTGTCCATGTTGCTAAAACTTTAACCTACCCAGAAAAGGTAAGCTTAGTTTGCGGTAATTCGGTTTTTGTTTATTGTAATGAAAAATGTAAATGAAACTTCCTGAGATACATAAATCATAACAAAAAAACTGCTTTTGCACCCCAGATTGTTTTTATAAATAACATTTACCTTGTGCTGATCCCTTTTTCAGATAGAAGACTAAAGAAAACTGCTGTGAACAAGGCATGAATTTATTCCTTGCATGATACTGTCTTGAAATGAAAGCCATCAGTTGCAAAGGAAATGAGTAATGATAACCTTTAAGCTCTTCCGTCCTTCCTTAAAGGTGACCAAAGCTAATATTGGTCTGATGAGAAAGCTGGTCGTGAACGGTTGCGACATCCACCCAGGAGCCAACTTTATTCAGCAACGACACACCAATAACAAAAGGTATGCTGGCGAGGTTGAATGCAAGGAACCATCCCGTAGTCCTGTAACCAGCTAAGCTGAGATCTTGCAACCCCATAAACTAGCCTTTCAAGTCTGGAGTCCAGCATCCATGCAAACAGATAATGCATTGAACCAGACTTGTCCTCAAGTCACCAATTCAGATTTGTGCTATATAGACCCAGACTCAAGTCATTGCCTGTGCCTCAGAGTGAAATCCACCTGGTCGAATATTCACCAATTTGAAGTACAGTCTGAAAGACATCATGAATATTCATGAGGAATATACTCCATTTTTGTCACTGTTAATTTGTTTCAGGTTCAATAAATGTTTCTTTGTTGACCGTGTTGACCTATCTTTTACCTTGTGGACCTTTTTACCGCTTTTTTTCCGTGATCAACACAGGTTTCTGAAATATGGTAACCGGCAGAAAACTGCCCAAGAGCTCAAGGTAGGTTGCAGTGAATTTTTGGACAGGTGTTGGTCGCACTTGATTCCGTCATTTTGAAGAATGTCCTTATAAGCTTTGGAACTTTGGTTGTTTCTCAAACTGTAAAGTTGCATCGCAGAACTGAGTTCTTTCCTTGAGGCTTACCCGTTATCCCCTCAGAATTACTTTCCAGAGATGTACAGCTTATTGATTTGATTTGTAAATTTTTTCATTCAGTATGGGGACATTGTGGAACGACATTTGATGGACGGTGACGTCGTTTTATTTAACCGTCAGCCATCCCTTCACAAACTTAGCATCATGGCCCATTTTGTAAGTCCAACCTTAACCTTAATTTAATTGCTATTTTCTAATGCCAGTAGCCATCTTTGAGCAACCTGCCATGTCTTTGAGTTACATTTTAACTTCAAATACCTGTCTTGTAAATTGGTTGGATCAGTTACATTTTGCATGCCAATTTTCCTACAACCCCATCTACTCATAATCCAATGCTAGAAATTGTATTAGAGTCTATTACTTCACATTAACCCTAACAGTACCAGGCATTGTTTGGCTTAGAGTACTCAGTACTACAAAATACTACGTAACACTCTGAGCCTGAAGGACCTAGCGCTACAAATTACTACTTCTGGCTAGGTTTATTCCATTGTTACTCATACAGAAAACAATGAAACCATGCATTCATAGTACCACAGCACTCTATGGTATATTGTCTTCTCTATTGTATTTTATGGCTTCAGAGAATAATAATGTCATGTCCTCTTACAAGCGACAGGGTTGAGTACTACATTTTACTACTAAGTAGTACTTTGTAGCATTCGGGACTGTTAGGGTTAATAGGTCCGATTGTCCGGTCTTGTGCATAGAATGTACCATGAGCTTATGACACTGTGTTGGATTTTGGGAGGGTTCTAGCAGGTCCTTATTAAAATGGGCATTGGATGAACCAAACTGATGCCAATGCCCTGCCCTAATTGGTTTAGATGAGTAATGTTCCTATTTCGAGCCTTGTATCTCCCTGTGTTGTAGGCTCGGGTGAAACCCAATCGGACGTTCCGCTTCAATGAGTGTGTTTGCACGCCCTACAATGCCGACTTTGACGGGGATGAGATGAACCTGCATCTTCCTCAGACAGAAGAGGCCAAGGCAGAGGCACTGACCCTGATGGGGGTAGGTTGAGA